AGTCACTTTTTAAAAGGCTTTCTCTGAGGAGCATAGAAATATGTTGAGACTTGTAGAAAAAGAAGACAAGATGCACAATCACCTCCTCTAATCTAGTACAAAGACTTCACTTGAAAAGAGAGTGAAGAAAATCCAGCAGAGAATGAGACTGTCAAGTGTGAGAATGAGTGTGCCAAGGCGGGGTAAGTGTAGAACAAAGGCTGGGGAGTCGGGGTGATGATAGCGATGTTGGTGGTGGTGATAGTGGTGATCATGGTGGTAGGGATAGTGGTGGTAGTGGTGGTGGGTGGTAGTAGGGATAGTGGTAGTGGTAGTGGTGGATGGTGGTAGTGGTGGTGGGTGGTGGTTGATGGTGATGGGCATTTGTCATATTGGTGGAGGTGGTAGGGGCTTTCAGGGTTGTTTTTGGTATTAGTGGTGGTGCTGGTGGTAACGGTGGGGAGTAGGGTGATGTTGGTGGATCCATAGTCCAAATGGATTCTCTGATAGCATCAAGATTGTTCCTGTCAACTTCTCAGGAGCCATGGATACTGAGTGCTGGGCTGACTTCAAAGGCTCTGCCAATGTTTCATCCAAGAGTGTCAGTCACAAATGGCACTTGTCAAAGGTGGCATGCCCACTTACAATTGAGCAACAATACAGTGTCTAAGAATTGCATACATGTAACAGCCAAAGTAGCAAAAGAAAGTCAGAAAAATGATTGAATGGAGGTATAGTCAAGCTGAAGGTGGGCAATTTTATTAAGATAAATCTCATAGACAATAGGATTTTCCAGTTTAGGAAAGAATTTATAAGTTGGATTTGTTTTCTTCCCATGTCAGGAATCTATTTATTGAAAAAATGAACCAGACTCCATGCTAGACAGAAACATCCTGATGCAATACATAGAAATGCCGAAATTCAAAACATAATAAATTATAAACACTTTCTATCCTCAAAGGATGATCGTGGAGAAGTGAATGTACTAAAATAGAAATGTGTCTCTGAAAGCAAATTCTTTGAAAAGAAAATATGACAGCTAGGAATAGCAGACCAGGTCAGAATTACTGCTACCTTGGATGCAGTGACAGATGACTACCCTACACAGAGACAAGTGGACAGGAGACGTTTAAAAACAGTATGTGGGTATGTGTCGCAGAAAGATACAAACACTCAATCAACTCCTTTATTTTTGGATCCTGCTTGTATCTTTATGCATATTTATTAATTACTTTTCTGTCACTGTGACAAGATAGCACTGAGAAATTACTCACTTGCAGAACTCCTGTGAAGACTAGCCAGCCACCCCCCGCCCCCATGCTGTACCCAATAAACACAAACACAGAGGTTCTGGGTTGCAGTTAGAGACCCCATCTTATTCTAGCTTCACTGAACATGTGTCTGTGTGTCTGTCCCTTTTCATTCCCTGTCTGCCCTTAACAAGGGTTCCAGGATCCAAAAGGAACAGGAGTCTGTACATATTCTTTGATTTTTTAACTGTTTTAATGACTGTGAAATAGAACACTGAGTCCATTGAATTTATGCCTTCCTGACTTCTGGTGGCACACCAGAAGTGTGCTTTTTGGACATTTATCTTTCTTCTGTTAAGTAATCTTTCATCCTCTTTTAATTGTGTCATGTGTCTCTTACTGCTGAATTGCAGGAGTTAGTCATATACTTTTAATTTTCTCTAGGTACAGTGTGCTTTCTGCTGAGGTTTGTTCTGTTGCAATGTACTAATATGCTAAATTCTGTACCTGAAGGTCTAGGCCTAGGTAGAAGTGAATTCTCGTGGTTACAAGTTTTTGTTGTGCAAACCTTGTTCCGTAACTTAAAACTATTGGTTAAATGAAAATGGCTACAGCCAATTACTGCAATGATTAGAGGTAGGTGGGTTCTGGTTGGGGGAGGAGAATCTGGAGGAGAAGAGACCACAAGGGAGAGGGAAGGGAGCACTGAGAGGACTGAGACAAGCTGACTCCATGACAAGCTTCAAACTTGCAGGTTAGGAGACTAGGCTTAAAATTCTGTTTCCAGAACTAGACAAGAATGGGCAAGTTACTGGAAAAAAAAAAAAAAAAAAAAAAAAACCACAGGTGAGGGCAGCCAATCAGAAGCTGCCCTGCCACCTGGCCTGAGGCAAGAGCAATGAGTCAGCAACAGTTTCCATCCCTGAAACTCCAGCAAAGGTTCTGGAATGTCCCTAGAGCCTTAGCCAATCCCAGAGATGCCAACATCCCTAGACATCAATCCAACCATCAAGATAAAGGCCACCTACTCCTCCCTAGAATTCCCCTAATATGCTTTAAATTGGGCCTGCAAGCTCACCTGTGTGTCTCCATTTTGGTCAATGGTAGACTCCGGCATACTGAATTTCAGCAGAATAAAACACTTCTTGCTTCTGCATATTTTTTGAGTCCAGTTCATCGAATCACCAGCCCTTACAGCAGCACCATGAGAGGAGATAGACCATGAACATATAGGCTGGAGAAACAGCAAGTATTTGGAGTACACTGCTGGAGAGGTGGTAGCCAGGCCAGTACTTAGAAAAGTAGATAAGTGGTTACCCCTTAGTAATTGTCAAAGCCAAATAAAATAACCACAGTCTGAGTCTCATTTTCTTGTAAGCTAGTCAGGGATAAGCTTAAATAGGTTGTAACACACTTTCTGTAGTAGTTTCTCTTTGGGGCGCATGACCATGAAATACAAAACATTGTGTTCATTCCCAGGTGTTCATTCCCATGCCTTTATTACAGGGCTCCTTGGTTCCCCATGTTCTCTTGTGTCTCCTGCCAGGTCTGACTAGCTGGCCAAGCCGTTCACCAGTGGCTCTGAATGTGTATTTCAACACAGGAAACTTTTCTATATGACTTTAGAAGTCTAGGTTCATGTTACTTTTATCATTCCCATTTCTTCCTTGTACATATTCCCTCCAATCTCCTGACTTTATTTATAAATTCTTTAAAGTTCTGCTCTCTTAATTGCATCACCTGTCTCTGGTACACATTTCCTGTGTACTAGAAGATATGGGTGCTGCACACAAATGAAATGTAGCAAGCGACTTAAACAGGCCATCTGAGTAAAATGATGCCACCACGTGTGATGAGCTATGAACAGGAAAGAGATGAGGACGGAGTTTTGATCTGGGCCAGTGGCACTGATATGGATACAAAGTATAGGGATTTGGAGCATCAGGTCTCATTGATAGGTTAGGGAAGGGAAAAACAGGAGAACATTAAGTGATAACTTATAAATATACTCTGTGAATAAAATGGGGTCACTATTTGATTGGCTCTAACAGCGGAGGCAAATCTTCTAGAAGTGAAATCAAGAGTTCTGTCTGTCATGTTTAATGTGAGATATCTACTCAGTTCCCAACTCAAGATGTTAAAAAATACTTTTCCAGTTGGAGATCAAGACTGGGGACATGCATGATGCCAGTTTGGAAGTCAAGGTGTATGGATGGTGTTTAAAGGCTGGGCTTTTAAGAAAATATGTGAGCCTTTGGGCATAGACACAGTTTTAGCAGTGGTTCTCAACCTGAGGGTCGCGACCCCTTCGGGGTTGCAGATCAGATATTTACATCGTGTTTCACAACAGTAATAATGTTACAGTTATGAAGTGATAATGAAATAATTTTATGGTTGGGGGTCAGCACAACATGAGGAACTGTATTAAAGGGTGGTAGGTAGCACTAGGAAGGTTGAGAAGCACTGGGTTAGAGTTTAGGACAACAAAAAGAATCTAAAACTAAGTCCAAACGGGCAATAGGAAGAGTGTGGTATATAAAAGGTGAAGTGGAGATTATGGAATGAGAGTAATCAGGGTATCAGTGTTGCTGATTAACAGGAAAAGCAAGAATCAATTATTCACTGTGTTAATCCACTGAGGGGTTTGTTTCTGAAGTATATTAACATATTAATCAACGCCGTATAATCAAATTTCTTGAGTGGTTCAAAATTTTAATTCTGAAAGTGCTTAACTTCTAATTAGCTATGTTCCTGAGAATTCTATCTAAGATCGATGTGAGCATTTATCCCTAATAGTGATTTTGTCACTTAGGATAATTGTATGCTATGTGTCACTTTGATGTCCGTTTGGGGGTTCCTAGTCACTGGCTCTTTCCAATATCATTTATTTAAGCAGATCCAATTACTACTCTAACAATAGATTGTTGAGAATAATTCATCGGTGAAATGGACATTCATGTTCTTTTTCTGCTATAGTAAGGTACTAGTTGCCACAATTACACCTTACTGAATGAGAATGTGCTCTGCGGACATGGTGTTATTTACGTTCTTTGATATGCTATTGATATAGAGACAGAATGGCAATGTTAGGCTGCCAAAAGCTAGTGTCAGCACATAGATATAAAAGTTGCTTTCCCTATCAAAAAATTATAATTTTATAAATGCATTTTATGCAATTTTTAAAATAAATGTACTTAAGTTTTCTGAACAAACCGAACCATCAGTTCCAAATAGCAGTTGTAGCTGAAAAAAAAAACTTATCTAACAAAACTAAAAATCATTATTCTATAAGAACATGTTTACTATTTCATATCTAATTTCATGCTTATATTTATGAGCCCGTCATCCTTGGTATCTGACGTCAAGGATCTTGCTCTAATTATTGTGAATTGTTACATCTTATAGTGTCCATGGGGTCGTTTTACTGTGAAGGTGATGCTTTGTATCTACTCTAAAAGGGAAAACCGAGAGTTTCAGTAAGTTCGGATTTTGCTCTTGAAGCCTTCTCAGAAAACTAGTGCGAGATCAAGAAGGACCAGGTCTCGATCGCGGGTCGGAAGATGGTAATTTGCCGTTTGTTCTGGTCCTCCGTGGAGGTCTGCGACTGCTGTCCCGTCCATATCAGGCCGGGCCAGCTGCGGTCCCCGAGAGCTACGCGCCACAGGTGACCGTGTGGCGGGTTGCAGGCGCCGAGCCCGGGGCGGCGCGGGCGGGTCTCCGGCATCCAGGGCCCGCCCCTCGGCCTGGCGCGCGGAGGCGGCGCGCACGCGCAGGGGAACATGGCGGCGGCGGAGCCCTCGGTGGCCGCGCTAGCTGGCGGCGGCGGTGTGGGCGCGGGGGCGCCGTCGGGCGGCGTGCCGGTGCTCTTCTGCTTCTCGGTGTTTGCGCGGCCCGCGTCGGTGCCCCACGGCGCGGGCTACGACGTGCTCATCCAGAAGTTCCTGAGCCTGTACGGCGACCAGCTCGACATGCACCGCAAATTCGTGGTGCAGCTCTTCGCCGAGGAGTGGGGCCAGTACGTGGACCTGCCCAAGGGCTTCGCGGTGAGCGAGCGCTGCAAGCTGCGCCTGGTGCCGCTGCAGATCCAGGTAGGTCCCGCCCCCCGCCGAACCCGGTCACCTCCCCCCCAACCCCCGCGCGGGCCGCCCACGCCCCCACGCGTGTGGTCCCCAGTGCCCCGCGCCTTTGTGCGGCAGCCGCCTGCGTGGCCCCGCGGCCGCCCCTGCTCTTTTTTTTCCCCCACGGGTGATGCAGATCGCGGGCAGAGTTAGCCTCAGGGCTTGTTCCCGGAGTTGTGGTAACCAGTTGCAGAAATGCAAACTTCACTGTGGTGGCTCTCCTCTCCTTTCGGTTTGGTGACAGTCGGGGTGCCTACCTAGGAAGAGAACTGCAGTAGACACTTAAATAGCGTGAAAACCTGTGTGCATCCCTGGCTGAGGAAATTGTACCTAAGGGTTGGAGTTTATTAATTATTATATTGCTAAAAGCCGTACTGTAATACGAGGAAATCGCCTCCTCTTAAAATCTGACGATTCTCTGGCAAATACATGGTTTTGAGAGGAATGGAGATAGGTGTTAACTTACCCACTACAGCGTCTATAGTATTTTTCTCTACGTGCAGAACTGCTAAGTCTTTTCTTTGGAAGACAAACTGAAATGTGGCATTTGAGGGCAGAGGGAAATTTTCATATCCAAGAGCCATTTTGGGAGGCTTATCCCCTAGTTTTTGGTTTTCATCATCTGTACTCAAAGACAGACTGGATTGTGCTGCCCTTCCCCCCAGCATCTATGGATCCAAAGGGAGTACTTTAACTTGATCAAAGTTCATATGTTCAGAGGACAGAGTTCATGGGCTACCTGCCAGAGAAGCTGCAGGAGGTGGAGCGATCTGCCCTGCTGCCCAGATGGAGAGCTGCATTCTTTAGTGCTTAAGATTCTCCATTTTTATCTCTTTAAGAGTTCTAGATGATGCCTCTCTGCAGCCTTCCAAAGATTCGTTTAGATTACTGCTGCCAAATATCCAATATGTTGGATTCACCTTTGACAAATCCATTACGAGCAGTGTAGAAGATACAGACTTCATTGTCAACCATTTCCTGGTATCCTTGAGAGGGAGAGGGGCTCCTACCTGTGACTACGCTTTAGATTTTTAAGTTGGTATTTGTTTTCCTGTGTGCCAGGGTAGGAATTTTATATTTTGACAATTTCAAAATGTGATTCAACTCTTAAAGAGTCTGAAAATCAATAGTGTGTGTGTGTGTGTGTGTGTGTGTGTGTGTGTGTAACATATATGCTAAAACAGCAATGTATAATTCAGGCCACTCTGGCTTTTGAAATACCTTAGAATCGATTTTTTTGTAATCTTGTTTAAAACAATTACCATAACAATAGAAGTACTCTTTGCTATCCCAACAAATAATACTTTTTTTCTCATTAAGTAACCCAAGAATTCTTAAGCTTATTATGTCTGTATTTTGTATATTAAGTTATACATGTTTGTATTTTGAAGTATTTACACATACTTTCATATTCTCACTTTATTAATTACTTTCCCTTAATAAAATAATCATAATAGCAGTACTCTTTCTACTCACTAACAAATAACTTTTCTCGATAAATAACCCAAGAATCCTTAAGCTTACCAGTTCTTTATATCTATATTTTAAAGTACTTACAAATACTTTCATATTCTCACTTTAGTCATTGTAATACTTTCATTCATGTGCCTCTCCCAGCATAGTTGTAGATAACCTATGAAAGAATATTTTACATAGTATATGAAATGATGAACATGTACACACATGTATTTATGTGTGGGGATATATTTTCAGAAAAGATAAGTTATTTTCGTTGCTACTATATTCTCTGGAACATATCTGTATAACTCTACTGACATGGGTGATTTACATCTCAGAGAGTTCATTCCACATAGAGGTGGCATCTGTGAGTGCACTGCACGGTAGACGCAGGCCTGGATTTAGTTCTTGGTGGAGATAGTAATGCCATTCATTTCTCTGAGGAGGAGATTGCCCTGGATTCTCCGGCTATAAAGACAGAGCTGGCAAAGCGTGAACCAGTCCCCAGGAATGTCTGAGCATCTCCTGTAGCATGACTGCTTTCTTTGCATGTTTGATAAGAACACCATTGAGTAGTCTGGAAAGCATGCCAGACTTAAGCTTCTGTTTGTTCATTTCTGTTGAGCTGCTCCCTGCTGTTTTGACAAAGGACACCTGTCACTTAGGAAGACTCACAGTGGCTTCTGGGGAGGTGGGAGTGATAGAGGTGGTAGGCCCTTTCCCTTTGACTGTGCATTCTGTGTGCCGTCCTATGCTTGTGTCCTGTCACGTCATCTCTCCAATTGCACGCCCTGGCTTGCAGATTCTCACTCTAGGATGCCTTTCTGTTTGCTGTGACTGCAGTAGGTAGTGACCTTGTGGGATAGTGGGTGGTTGTGCCACATTGCCCCTGTGATTGGCAGCAATTTTTTTGAGGATGGATCTTGAAGACATCCATTGTCAGTTCTCGTGTATGGGAACTTTTTAGGGACTCCTTTAAAAAAAATATATCCTGTCAGAGTGACTAAATGTCTGCTGACAGCTCAGGTAGCTGAAGACATAGCTCGTGTTTCATTCATGGTTTTGTGTGTCTGCAGTCTGACAGATTTAGAGTCATAGGAGGCAGAATGTGAATGAAGGGGTCATGGGGTGGAACTTTAGGTCTCTTTATAACGACTCTTGTACTTTGTCTAACTGTGTTTTCCATGTCTGCATGACAGAGATATGTAATGTTGGAGACTCATGTTAAGGCAGGCAGTTGTCACAGACACAGACCTTTTCCAGGGCAGGGAGAGCCCAAGCAGAAGGCAGGAAGAAATGGATGCAGGCCAGATAAGACAGAAGGCTTTGGCAACTTTTCGAGGGCAAGAGATACAAGCTTCCCTGGGCAGGTTATTTTGACCTCTTCCAGGGATGGTTAAGTGGGAGAACATTTGGACCCAGTGTTCATGTTCTAGTGAGATTTTATGAGGGTGACGCACAGACATTTTACTAGAAGAAGACAGTTAAGTTCACAAAAGAAAGGAGGAAAGGCAGCTACACAAAGAAGAGAGAAAGGAATATGGTCTGCTTGTGGCTTGCTGGTTGGAAGGTAGAGATTGGGGCTGCAGAAGTGTCTTAGGGTTTTACTGCTGTAAACAAGCACCATGACCAAGGCAACATTTCATTGGAGTTGGCTTACAGGTTCAGAGGTTCAGTCCATTATCATCAAGGTGGGACCATGGCAACATTCAGGCAGGCATGGTGCAGGAGGAACTCAGAGTTCTACAGCCTCATCTGAAGGCTGCTAGCAGAATACTGGCTTCTAGGCAGCTAGGATGGTCTTATAGCCCATACCCACAGTGACACACCTACTCCAACAAGGCCACATGTACTCCAGCAGGGTGACACCTTCTAATAGTGCCACTCCTTGGGCTGAGCATATACAAACTTATCGAAAGGACATTTGTTTGTAGGAGTGTCGCAGAAAAAATAGACCGATAAGCTCACGCTCAGACTGAGTAGAGACACTGGTAGGGTGTATCTGGGGTGCCGAGTGCTTTAGGGGGCACTGAGAAGAGATGCCTAGATCTCGAGTTTGAGGTGTTGTCTCCAGACTGTTGGTTTGATAGACAAAGGAGGTTATAGGATAATACAGTTATAGAGGTATATGGGCCACTTAAAAACTTTGAGTATTGCAGAGTAATTCCCAAAACAATGTATCTGTTTGTTTCTTTGTGTAAATTAGTTTCTACCTATAAGTCAACTGTATCTGAGAGTGGGAACTGTGACCTGCATTTGAATTTGTCCCCTTAGGTTTAGTTAGCCATGGGGAATCTTAATGTAGATTTAAATGTCATTGTGCTCTTGGCTCAGCCCAGTTTCACCTTCATCCCAGCCTGAGGCATTTTAAGAGATCCTTCAAGTCTCAGCTGTCAGTGGGTAGGCACAGCTGATTTTCCTTGAGAGTCAGAGAGCTCAGACTCTGGATTGCGGGGTAATGTTATACCAGGGACATCGATACCCAGGGTAGGTACACATATTGTAAGAGCAAAAGTAAAATATTCTCTTGCCATCTAAAGGGAAAGACTCAGAATCTGTTTTGCCAAAAATAAATCTTCATCATGCGCTTTATTGTGGTGTCTGGAAATGCGCTTTATGAATGAGTTTCTTAATTCTGCAGACAAAATTGGCACAGTGATGTTTCTAGAGCCATCTTAATAGCAAATTGTCTTTAACCTCGTTAGAGAGCTTCTCAGCCTGTGCTGACTCAAGTGTTTGTTTTGCTGGATATCACCACAGCTGAAGAAAAGTACTGTTTATCTTACTGTTTTAAAAATAAGGAAATTATATCGGAAGATGTCAATGATTTACCTAAATTTATGTAATTGAACACAATGAAACTGAGATTTGGACTCAGGTTCTAATACCTACAAACCTGGGCTGTGTCTAGAATCCTCACAGATTGTGTATGTGGGGTGGGAAATCAATCTGTTTTAAATGAGTTGATTCTAGGTCAGGGTCTTACCGAAGCTATGTAATTGGATTGGAAACACTTAGGACTTAAATACTGGATGAAAATAAGAAATGAAAAGAAAGGACATGGATACTCCTGTTTATGGTGGAGGAGAAAGTGTATTCTCGATAAAAGGGAGCGCATAGCCAGAGGCAGAGACATCTGGGAGAGTCCAGAGTGAAAGTGACCCTGAGCTGCAGAGTGAGGAGGAAGGAAGGAACCAGGTGCAGGCTCCAAGAGGGGAAAAGGTTAAAAAGAAAGAGCTAGTAACCAAAATGGCTGGATTGTATATGGAAGAGCCTCTGAAGGAAGAGCAGCTTAGACCCTGGACAAGAAAGTTTGGAGAGTATAGGACAGGGTATTCCAGCCATGCCTTGGAACTGAGGGATGCTGGGAGAAGCTGGCTGCTAGGTCCACCTTGATATATTAATTAAGTGCTTCATCCCTTTGTCCCAGGGTCGAGACCTAAGGGTACCTAGATCCCCTTCACACTCTTACTCAAGTAGAGCATGTTTGTCTCGTGACTCTAATGGGCTAC